AGTAACCCGCAGACAGCAGGGAAGCATCAGGCAAAATAGGAGGGCAAGACTCCAGCCTCAAAGGGGAGTTTCTGGGTGTGGGTTCTCTGACTGAAAACACTGTCACAGCAACAGAGAAGGGAAGGGAGTGATAATCAGAGAGAAGATGCACCTCATGGTGGACAGACTGATTACTACACAATACCTCGCCTGAGTGGCAGTGCCAGCTGGTGGACAGACTGATCACAGCGTGTTTTCTGGCGCGTTTGGGAGAGACTAAAGTTGAAAACAGAGATTTGGAACTTTTGAATCCTAATTAAACCAGGGAGGAAAAGGAGCTATCATAGAGGAAAGAAAAGGAGCTATAATAGAGAAGGAGAGGAAACAGTAAGCAAAGGCTGAAAGCTCTGCCCACCTAAGAGTTTTTTGCAGAAAGGAGTGCAGGCAAAAATCACCAAATACTGGAGATAACTAAACTGAGAAAGTTAACACTCTCTAACGTTCCAATACCCCAACAAAAAAATCACAAGACACACGAAGAACAGAGAAAAAGTGACCTATCCAAATGAACATGACTAAAGGAATCAAAGTGCATCTAGGGATGACTAAATAATGAAAAAAAAGGAAGACTATAATATAACAATGTTAAGCACAATTAAAGATCTGAAGGAAAACAGACAAAAAGATAAAAGAAAGAAGGAAAACAATGCAAGAATCATCTAAAAAAAGAGATATTGCAACTGAAAGGGACAATAACTGAAATGAGAAACACAACAGAAGAACTTACCAGCAGATTTAATCAGGCAGAATAAAAATCAGCAAATTAGAGGATAAGATCATTAAAATTACAGAAGCTAAAGAACAATAAGAACTGAGGCTCAAGAAAGCTGAGCAGTTTAATAGAATTATGGGACAAGAAACCTAATATACGCATTATGGGAATTCCAGAAGGAAACAGGAGACAGAAAGAGACAGAAAGAGTATTTGAAGAAATGACAGAAAATTTCCCCAATCTAATGAAGGACACGAAGCTACAAATCCAAGAAGCTCAAAGGACCGCAAGCAGGATAAACTCAAAGAGATCTACACCAAGACACATCATAGTTAGGCTCTCAAAAATCAAACAGAGAATCTTGAAAGCAGTGAGATGGAAACAAAACAGTAACATACAAAGAATACCCAATAAAACCAAGGGATGATTTCTCCTAAGAAACATTGGCGGCCAGAGGCAATAGAATGACTGAAAGAAAAAAACTGTCAAACAAAAATACTATACCAGCAAAATTATCCTTCAAGAATGAGGGTGAGAAGAGAAGGCAGAGAGGGTTAGTTGCTGGTTGAATGGACATGGGAAATCAGGGGTGGAAAGGAGGAGTGTGCTGTCACAGTATAGGCAGAGCAATTAGGGTCACATAACAATGTATGTATAAATTTTTGTATAAGAGACTAACTTGAAATGTAAACTTTCACTTAAACTACAATAAACCAACCAAAAAACAAGAATGAGGGTGAAATTAAAATATTCCCAGATAAACAGAATCTGAGAGAGTTCATATCGACCAGACTGGCCCTACAAAAAGTACTGAGGGGAGTACTGTAGATGGAAGGGAAAAGACACTATAAAGTAATGCAAAGCTATACAAAAAAAAAAAAAAAAAAAAATCCTGTCATGGATTGCATTGTGTCCCCAAAAAATTTGTGTATCAATTTGGCTAGACCATGATTCCCAATCCTGTGTGACTATCAACCATTTTGTCAACTGATGTGATTTTCGTATGTGTTGTAAATCCTACCTCTATGATATTAATGAGATGCGATTAGTGGCAGTTATGTTAATGAGGCAGGACTCAATCTACAAGATTAGATTGTGTCTTAAGCCAATCTCTTTTGAGATATAAAAGACAGAAGTGAGCAGAGAGACATGGGGACCACGAACCACCAAGAAAGCAGCACCAGGAGCAGAGTGCTTCCTTTGGACTTAGGGTTCCTGCGCAGAGAAGCTCCTGGACCAAGGGAAGACTAATGATGGGGACCTTCCTCCAGAGCCAACAGAGAGAAAGCTGGAACTGACGCCCTGAATTTGGACTTGTGGCCTACTAGACTGTGAGAGAATAAATTTCTCTTTCTTAAGAAATCACTTGTGGTGTTTCTGTTACAGCAGCACTAGATAACTAAGACAGATCCCTAATAAAGGAAATGTTTGGACAAGTATAAGGGCTAGTAGTAAGGTACTCATGCTTATAATTCTAATTGTGACGCTCTCCATGTTTCTTAATAATAAATATATTAAAAGCAAGGATAAATTACGTTACAGGGCACATGAAATATGAAGACGTAATCAGTGATAAGTACGACAAAGGGGGGAGAGGAATGGTATAGATATATAACTTCTTGTATGTTACTGAAGTTAAGTTGGTACCAACTTACATTGCCCTGCCTGTTGCCATCAAGTTGATTCAGACCATAGTGACCAACTTATACGAGAATGTTATAAATACCAGATTTTAAATGTAATATTCACGGTAACCACTAAGAAAATATCTAAAAAACATGCACAAAAGAGAAGGAGAAGGGAACCCAAATGGTTCACTACAATAAACCAACAAAACACAAAAGTAAGCAGTAGTAAAGGACAAAGACAGAGAAGGCTTAGGACACTCAGAAAACAATAAAATGGCAGAAGTAAGTCACTTCTTATTGGTAATTATGCTGAATGTAAATGGACTAAACACTCCAATCAAAAGGCAGAGTGGCAGACTGGATAAAAAAACATGATCCAACTATATGCTGTTTCTAAGAGACACCCCTTAGACCCAAGGACACAAACAGATTGAATGAGAAAGGATGAGGAAAAAAAAATTCATGCAAATAGTAACCAAAAGAGAGCTGGGATGGCAATCTTAATATCAGACAAAGTAGGCTTTAAGAGAAATTTGTTAGAAGAGATAAAGATGGACATTGTATAGTGATAAGAGGGTCAATTAATCAAGAAGATTTAACAATCATCAGACCTAAATGTTTACCAAACATCAGAGTACCTAAATGTATAAAGCAAATACTGACAGAACTGAAGGGAGAAATAGACAGCACTACCATAATAGTTGGAGACTTCAATACACCACCTTCAACATTGGACAGAACATTTAGAAAGAACAAGGATAAGGAGAACCTGAATGACACTATAAACCAACTAGACTTAACAGACATACAGAACACTTCCCCCAACAACAGCACAATATACACTCTACTCCAGTGCACATCCTCACACGTCTGTGAGTTTGTCGTACTGTCATGGCTTGCATGTTGCTGTAATGCTGGAAGCTATGCCACTGGTATTCAAATATTAGCAGGGTCACCCATGGTGGACAGGTTTCAGCTGCGCATCCAGACTACAGGCTAGGAGGAAGGACCTGATGGTCTACTTCTAAAAAACAAACAAAAAAAATTAGCCAGTGAAAACCTTATGAATAGCAGTGGAACACTGGCTGATATAGTGCCAGAAAATGAGCCCCTCAGGTTAGAAGGCACTCAAAATACGACTGGGGAAGAGCTGCCTCCTCAAAGTAGAGTCGACCTTAATAACGTGGATGGAGTCAAGCTTTTGGGACCTCCACTTGCTGACGTGGCAAGACTCAAAATGAGAAGAAACAGCTGCAAACATCCATTAAAATAGGAATATGGAATGTATGAAGTATGAATCTAGGAAAATTGGAAATTTTCAAAAATGAAATGGAATGCATAAACATCGATATCTTTGGCATTAGTGAGTTGAAATGGCCTGGTATTGGCCATTTTGAATTCGACAATGATATGGTCTACTATGCCAGGAATGACAAATTGAAGAGGAATGGTGTTGCATTCATTGTCAAAAAGAATATTTCAAGATCTATCCTGAAGTATATCACTGCCAGACTGAAGAAGAATTGATGTCTTTGAATTATGGTGTTGGCGAATACTGAATATAGCATGGACTGCCACAAAAGTGAACAAATCTGCCATGGAAGAAATACAATCAAACTGCCCCTTAGAAGCAAGGATGGCAACACTTCGTCTCACATAGCTTGGACATGTTATCAGGACAAACCAGTCCCTGGAGAAGGGCATTATGCTTGGTAAAGTAGAGGGTCAACAAAAAAGAGGAAGATCCTCAATGAGATAGACTGACACAGCGGCTACAACAGTGGGCTCAAGCATAACGATTGACATGGTGCACGAGCAGTGTTTCATTCTGTTGTACATGGAGTTGTTACAAGTTGGAATTGACTCAACAGTACCCAACAACCACATCAATACCAGTTTTAGACACAAGGAGGTGACAGGACAAGGATTTTGACTAGTGAATCATGCTTCTCACACACCTAGAAGCCTCAAGGCAAAAGCACTCCCCACTGGGAAAAAAGATGGGTCTGGAGACCCCACACATGATACAGCTGAACACATTCTTCCTAGTCTCATTCCTTTGGTGAGGTCATGAAAGCACAAAGCCCCTCAAGACCCCATAAACGGGGCTTTTCCCTACTAACTATCCACCTCACCGCCACTCCCTCTTTTTTCTTTTTAACCTCATTGTACAGTGTGAGAGGTAGAGCTATAGTTTTAGAACTGCAGAGAAAAGTCTCCAGTGCCTGGGGGAATCCAAGAACACAGTTTGCAGTGATGGGACAGGACGGCTCTGGAGGGTCTGGGGCTCAGCATCCTCAGCCAGAGCTGCTGTCTTCAGACTCTTTAGGAGATTCTATCATTCAATACACAGCACCAAGGCCCAGGGTGGGGGTGTTAATGCCCCATGGAGCCAACTCTGAGAGTCACATAAGGTGACCCCAGGTATTCAAGGCTTGAAAAACCACATAAGTGCAGAGGACGAGTCCAGTGACAGTGGAGCAGGACCTTGGCCTCCTCTGCCACCTTTTTACCTCACTGAGGAACCATGGGGTCTGCAGCACACAGGTAGTTCCCCAACATTTCATATCTAGCCTTGTCCCCTTTATGGTAACAGTAACCCAGTACTCTGTAGTACTCACCATTTCCTTGCTCCAGCTTCTGGAATCTAAACCTCTCTAAGCCCAAGAAGCCTCTTCAGTAAAAGGGATGGGAGTGGAAGCAGAGCCACTGGGCAGTCTGGAGGCAGATGAATAATATTTGGTCCACACAGTCAGTCATAGCAGTTGAAACCCTTGTGATAGCAAGAATGTGCAAGATGGTCGCCCTAGATACCAGCTGCCTAGACGGGACTAGTTCTCTCCATGCCACCCTGGGACCTGAAATGGAAGAAGGATGGGGGAAGACGGTGTTGAGCAAGGAGGGACTGACAAGTTCTTGGCCTTTAGCTCTTTCCTTGGGCTGGGCTTCCTCCTAGGGTCAGGGCAGTGGTACACCTGAGGGCATTTCCATTTAAAGCAGAACAAGCTCCAGCCTTCCAGAGCACACACTTGACTGAACTTTATTTAAAGTAAGTGGATCTGCATCAACTGGTTATTAAAAAGGAGAAAAAGTAACAGGCCTACTTCCATAATAAAAATTCCGATGAACTGTAATTCTACACAGCAAAAAAAAAAAGGGAGATTATGCTAATGACATTAGACTTAGCAATAATTTCTCAAAGACACTTAAATTTAGATACTTTAAATTTTTGAAATGATATGTGCATCTGCTGCTTGACTCTTTACTGTCTATATTTTTCCTATCTTTTGTTCTATAGAAAATGATACCCTTTTGTTGCTCTTAGATTCAATAGACTTGATATACACACTTTACATTATTATTACACTTGGTTTAAAAAGAAAACATTCTCTAGTTGTATTACAGATGCCATACTTTACTCAATTTAAGTGTTACAGTTCTTTATGTTCCAAATTATTTACTATAAATCATGACTTTCTAATAGTGGAGCCCTGGTGGTGCAGTGATTAAGAGCTTAGCAGCCAATCAAAAGGTCAGCAGCTGGAATCCACCAGCCGCTCCCTGGAAACCCTGTGGGCAAATTCTACTCTGTCCTATAGGGTCGCCGAGTTGGAAGTGACTCCGTCGCAACAGGTTTGGTTTTTTTCGTTTCTAATAGTTACGCATTTCACATTTATTTAAGCAAGAGTACTTTTTAAAATAATTATTACAAAGAATGAAGTACTTTTTTAACACTGTAGTGTGTCTGACCCTCTAAGCTCTGTTTCAGTATTTTGATTAGTTTCATTACACACGCCTCCTACTTTGCCCTCGTTCCCAACATTTGCTGCTCTGACATTGGGAGTATGCCCGGATTTTGCTACAAGAAACCTTCAACCCATTAAGCACGACTCTTTGGTCCGAGAAACTTTGGTTGGATCACCAGAATCCAATCCCGCACAGATCCTGTCTGAGCCAATCCTTAAGATATTGGACAAACGCCAAGTGTGTGATCTCTATATATCGCTCAACGCCTATATTGTTTGTTCAGCCACATCACACTTTACAGCAGACCAACGAGCGCTGGCCGTATTGTTTCTCACACAATCATGACGAAAATGTCTGCCTTATGGCCAAAGAAATTCCTCGAAATGTAGCTCTTACTACTTTTCCTTCTGAAATTGGGATAAGTGTGGTCCGGAATGCACATACTAGTTCTAACTCATGTTTCTTAATTTTTCATCTATTTTAAAGTAGAAGGATATACTCCTCACTAAAATCTTACTGTTTGTATGATCAGCAATATTTAACAAAAGTGCTGCCTTGATGAAGCACAGAAAACAAAGGGCAGCCTGGTGAGCAGCGGACTGGAGGAGGTGGGAACAGAGCATTTAGACTCAGGCTGACAACCCCGGGCGTCCATGAGGCCCGTGACTCTGCATTTCTCACAACTACCCAGGTGAAGCTGACGCTGCTGGTCTGGAAAGGACACTCGTTTAGCGAGGGTTTTCACCATTTTACCTGTTAATACACGACAGACACAGGCCCAGCCCACCTACCCGGCCGTACGAACGTGGCCGGCAGAAGCCAGCCGCTGCACAGGAGGCGAGGGCGAGGTGGGCCGGGCTCTCGGCGGCGGGAAACCGGCGGCGGCAGCCAGAGGCCCGAGCACGGCCCCGCTACAGGAAGTTGCGCGGCTCTGGAGCAACCCAGGGAGGGCGGAGAGGCCGGCTCTGCGGAGGAGAGCCGGAGCAGTGCTCTTTAATCTCGGGGTGCCCGCGGGCTGCACCTGGCGCTGCCCCGGCGGGAGCAGATGAGCGACGAATGGACGTGCACTTCCGCTTCTGGTTTCTGGGACGCCTGGTGCCGCCGCGGAGCGGCTCCGTACGAGTACGGAGGGCTCCACCTAGTGACCATGAGGTTCAGTGGCTTCCTCTTTAACCTGGGATGTGTCTAATACTGTCTTTGTTTCCTCTATAGGGAAAAGGAACTCGGGTGCCTTGGTGGTTAAAGTGCTGGGCTGTTAACCTAAAGGTCAGCCCTTTGAACCCACCAGGCCCTCCAGGGGAGAAGGATGGGGCAATCGGCTTCCGTAAAGGTTTACAGCCTTGGAAACCCTACAGGAGGACAGTTCTTCTCTGTCCTATAGGGTCACTATGAGTTGGAATTGACCGAACAACAATGGGATTGGTTTTGGCTTATAAAGAAAAGCCTAGATTTTTTGAAATGCAAATATGAGCTTAAAGATTTCGGTAGTCAAAGATTTCAAATACCCTTGGTGAGCAGAAAAAAGTATTTGCATATTAGAATATTTGAAAAAAAAATTACCATGTAAATAATTTGTTTGAACCTCACAAACATTTGCCCATTTTTAGAATCCTTGAAGTCTCAAGTGTTGGCTTATATTTTGTGATCTGTCTTCTCTTGCATCTCACATGTCTTTACCCAGGAGCAGGGCGCCGACTGTGCAAACCCAGTCTGATCTCTCCAAGTGCTGAGGATCCTGGAGAGAGCAGTTTTCGAGGGAGAGAGGCAGGCAGATACCAGTCCTTGTGAGAAACAGTATGTAAACGGTGAAGTCTTTTGAAAATGACAATTATAAACACCTTTTTTTTTTTAATCAGGCATAACACACATATACTAAATTGCATAACATGAACTAATCTTAAGTGTACAATGCAATGGTTTTTCACATATGTATGTACACTGATAAAACCTCTGAGATCAGCAATTGATATTGCTGCTTCCCCAGTTGATATTATCCTTGGGAAATAGTGTTCTGTTATCCCCAGGTATATGAACTCTGTTATGTCTGACTTCACTTATTCAAGATAATGACTGTGAGATTTTATCTATTTCATTACATAGAGCAGTACAGGTAGTCCCCAACTTACCATGTATTCTTATCAATTACAGCACTTAGAACCGTTGGGATTTTATATACTGTTGTTAGGTGCCGTCGAGTCGGTTCCGACTCATAGCGACCCTATGCACCACAGAACAAAACACTGCCTGGTCATGCCCCATCCTCACAATCGTTATGCTTGAGCCCATTGTTGCAGCCACTGTGTCAATCCATCTCCTTAAGGGTCTTCCTCTTTTTTGCTGACCATATACTTTACCAACCACGATGTCCTTCTCCAGGAACTGATCCCTCCTGACAACATGTCCAAAGAATGTAAGACATAGTCTCGCCATCCTTGCTTCTCAGGAGCATTCTGGTTATACTTCTTCCAAGACAGATTTGTTCATTCTTTTGGCAGTCCATGGTATATTCACTATTCTTTGCCAACACCACAATTCAAAGGCATCAATTCTTCTGTCTCCTTTATTCACTGTCCAGCTTTCACATGCATATGAGGTGATTGAAAACACCATGGCTTGGGTCAGGCGCACCTTAGTCCTCAAGGTGACACCTTTACTTTTCAACACTTGAAAGAGGTCTTTTGCAGCAAATTTGCCCAATGCAATGAGTCATTTGATATCTTGACTGCTGCTTCCATGGGTGTTGATTGTGGATCCAAGTAAAATGAAATCCTTGACAACTTCAACATTTTCTCCGTTTATCATGATGTTGCTTATTGGTCCAGTTGTGAGGATTTTTGTTTTCTTTATTTTGAGGTGTAATCCATACTGAAGGCTGTGGTCTTTGATCTTCATCAGTAAGTGCTTCAAGTTCTCTTCACTTTCAGCAAGCAAGGTTCTGTCATCTACATATCCCAGGTTGTCAATGAATCTTCCTCCAATCCTGATGCCACGTTGTTCTTCATGAAGTCCAGCTTCTCGGGTTATTTGCTTAGCATACAGATTGAATAAGTATGGTGAAAGGATGCAACCCTGATGCACACCTTTCCTGACTTTAAACCACACAGTATCCCCTTGTTCTGTCTGAACATCTGCCTTTTGATCTAAGTACAGTTTCCTCATAAGCACAATTAAATGTTCTGGAATTGCCATTCTTCACAATGTTATCCATAATTTTTTATGATCCACACAGTCGAATGCCTCTGCATAGTCAGTAAAACACAGGTAAACATCCTTCTGGTATTCTCTGCTTTCAGCCAAGATCTATCTGACATCAGAAATGATATCTCTGGTTCCACATCCTCTTCTGACTCTGGCCTGGATTCCTGGCAGTGCCCTGTCGATATAGTGCTGCAGCTGCTTTTGAATGATCTTCAACAAAATTTTCCTGGCATATGATATTAATGATATTGTTCAATAATTTCTTGGGAATAGGCATAAATATGAATCTCTTACAGTCAGTTGACTAGGTAGCTGTCTTTCAAATTTCTTGGCATAGACGAGTGAGTACCTCCATTTGTTGAAACATCTCAATTGGTATTTTTTCAATTCCTGGAGCCTTGTTTTTCATCAATGCCTTCAGTGCAGCTTGGACTTCTTCCTTCAGTGCCGTTGGTTCTTGATTATATGCTACCTCCTGAAATAGTTGAATGTCCACCAGTTCTTTTTAGTACAGTGACTCTGTGTAGTCCTTCTATATTCTTTTGATACTTCCTACGTCTTTTAGTATTTTCCCCATAGAATCCTTCAGTATTGCAACTCTAGGCTTTAGTTTTTTCTTCAGCTCATGCTGCTTGAGAAACGCTGAGTGTGTTTTTCTCTTTTGGTTTTCTAGTTATAGTTCTTTGCATATTTCATTATAATACTATACTCCGTCTACTCCAGCCAACCTTTGAAATCTTCTGTTCAGCTCTTTTATTTCATAATTTCTTCCTTTCGCTCTAGCTACTCTATGTTCAAGAGCAAGTCTCAGAGTCTCTTCTGACATCCATTTTGGTCTTCCCTTCCTCTTCTGTCTTTATAATGACCTCTTGCTTTCTTCACATATGATGTCCTTGACATAATTCCACAACTCGTCTGGTCTTCGGTCATTAGTATTCAATCATCATCTATTCTTGAGATGGTCTCTAAATGAAGGTGGGATATACTCAAGGTCATACTTTGGCTCTCGTGGACCTGTTCTAATTTTCTTCAACTTCAGCTTCAACTTGCATATAAGCAATTGATGGTCTGTTCCACAGTCGGCCCCTGGCCTTGTTTTGACTGATGATATTGAGCTTTTCCATCGTCTGTTTCCACAGATGTAGTCAATTTGATTCCTGTGTATTCCATCTGGCGAGGTCCATGTTTATAGTTTATGGTAGTGAAAAAAAGCATTTGCAATGTAGAAGTCATTGGTCTTGCAAAATTCTTCACACGATCTCCAGCATTATTTCTATCACCAAGGCCATATATCCAACTACCAGTCCTTCTTGTTTCCAACTTTTGCATTCTAATCACCAGTAATTATCAGTGCATCTTGGTTGCATGTTTGATCAGTTTCAAACTGCAGAGATTGGTAAAAATCTTCAATTTCTTCAACTTTGGCCTTAGTCATTGGTGCGTAAATTTGAATAATAGTTGTATTAACTGGTCTACCTTGTAGGCATATGGATATTTTCCTATGACTGACAGCACTGTAATTCAGGACAGATTTTGAAATGCTCTTTTTGACGTTGAATGTGATGCCATTCCTGTTCAATTTTTCATTCCCCGCATAGTAGACCATATGCTTGTCCAGTTCAACATGGCCAATACCAGTCCATTTCAGCTCACTAATGTGTAAAATATTGATGTTTATGTGTTCCATTTCATTTTTGACCATTTCCAGTTTTCCTAGATTCATACTTCATATATTCCAGGTTCCTATTATTAATGGATGTTTGCAGCTGTTTCTTCTCATTTTGAGTCATGTCACATCAGCAAATGAAGGTTCCAAAAGCTTGACTCCATCCATGTCATTAAGGTCGATTCTACTTTGAGGGGTTGTATTTTGAGTGCCTTTCAACCTGAGGGCTCATCTTCCAGCAGTGTATGAGACAATATTCCACTGCTATTCATCAAGTTTCACTGGCTAATTCTTTTCAGAAGTAGACGGCCAGGTCCTTCTTCCTAGTCTGTCTTAGTCTGGAAGTTCTACTGAAACCTGCCCACCATGAGTGATCCTGCTGGCATTTGAAATATCAGTGGCATAGCTTCCAGGATCACAGCAACACGAAATCCACCACAGTATGACAGTCAGACATGTGGGGTCTCACAGTTTAGGTGGGTAGAAGTCTGACTTCAGAGCACTGGCTCACAGGGAAGGGTGTCTCCATATGTCGCCCCTGGAGGAATGCCCATGTTGATCAGAAAGGCCACTTCTCAGCCATGTCTGCAGGCAGACTTCTCTCTGGCCCTTGGACCCTCTTCCCTTTGGCCCCACCTCTGCCTTGCTCAGGCAAGTGTTACAAAGCTCTTTAGCTCTGCCTATGTGTGCCCAGAGGTACCCCACTCCACCAGGAAGCCTCCTCCCTGAAGGCAGTCAGCTCTCTTGCTCAGTGGATCAGCTCCTGCACTGTCTCGAACTGGCATTCTGGTTCTGCCACTGCCTTTCTCTATCTCCATTTCTCGTTATCTTGTGCCATCCCTGGTGTTACAGCTCTCTTTCTTGGGTCTCCTGATTCTTGGAGGTTCTCATCGCAAGATGTTTATCTGTGCCGAACGGACACGTTGCACTCCCGTCTCTTCCTCTTAGTGGTATTGAGAATCCCTACATCATATCATGTACAAAAATTAATTCGAAATGTATCAAAACCTAAATATCAGAGCCAAAACCATAAAAACAATGTTTATAATAGTCACAAAATGGAAACTTCTCAAATATCCTCAGACAATTGAATTGTTAAATTCTTACAGATAGTCCATCCAGAGAGCAACACACGGCAATTAAAGTGAATGAACAATCCATGGACTTCCTCCTAATGTAAATTTGAACTAAAGGAATTGGCATGAAAAGTACATACGGTGTTATTCTGTTTACAAAATAAAAACCATAAAAATTCAAATATATATGGGTATACATACATTGATTAAAAAATATAAACAAAAGCAAAGAAAGGATTCTTGTAAATATAAATATAATTCTCACTAGTTACATCAAGAAAGCAGATGGGATTGTAATTAAAAATCAACCAATGAGGGGCAGTCAAGAGTGAGGGTATATCCCACTTTGGTAAGTGGCGTCTGGGGACTTAAAAGCTAGTGAATGGCCATCTAAGATGCATCAATTGGTCCCAACCCACCTGGAGTAAAGGAGAACGAAGAACACCATGGACACAAGGGAAGTATTAGCCCAAGAGACAAAAAGGGCCACATAAACCAGAGACTTCATCAGCCTGAGATCAGAAGAACTAGTTGGTGCCTGGCTACCACCAATGACCGCCCTGACAGGGAACACAACAGAGACCCTGACAGAGCAGGAGAAAAGTGGGGTGCAGAACTCAAAATTCTACTAAAAAGTCTAGAATTAATGGTTTGATTGAGACTGGAGGGACCCTGGAAGACATGGCCCCCAGACTCTCTGTTAACCCAAAACTAAAACCATTCCCGAGGCCGACTCTTCAGACAAAGATTAGACTAGACTATGGGATATAAAATGATACTCGTGAAGAGGGTGCT